CTGCTAAATTGAGCCTAAAGAAAGCTGTCGTCTCAACAGATTCGATCTCTTTCCAGGGTCAAAGAATAAGAAATTGCGAAGTAACATTCTTTCACTCTCACAGATATACATACTAAGGATAAATACTTTTTCAAAAACAGAGAAATAATGGAATTTAAGTATTCAGCAAATATCGCTACCTTAAAGAGAAAAGTCCTCCCGCTCTTTAGTGTGCTCTCTACATAGAATTTTCACCTTGCTGCAAAATAACCCATAGAGATGCCATGCATAAGGATGTCTGCAACTAATTCAAACCTATGATTCAATGTGGTACAGAGTGAAACAACCCCCAGGGGTAACGATAGAAAATGAAATGCCGTTTGTTGGAGCGGAGGGTAAAGTCCCAGACACCAAATTAATCTATTTAATAGTGTTTCGATTCTTTTTTTGTTTTGTTGTTCTTCATTATAGTCAGGGTTTACGGCTAATTACAATGTAAATTTTCCATTTCAGAGAAAAATATTTTACACGAAAAAGTGGAAAGAGTTTAACTGTGATCTAACATTTTCATTTTAGGTACTGAAAAAATATCCCTTCCCGATGAGGTTCAACAATCGCTTCTGTCAGTTTCATGTGAAGTCAAAGAGGTTGTACTACAACTTGAAGCAAGTCTGCAAATAGACCACGCCTCTCTGAAGGAGCCAGACACTGAAACTAAGAGAGTGATCCGTTGCTTGACTTGGATGGCAAAAAAGTCAATTAGACTTGACGTGTTCGAACACTTGAGGCAGATTGCACCTGCCGGAACTACTGGTGAGTCAGTAATTTATCAGAGCTACATCTCCCTGTTTGCGTTGAAGCAACGTCACCAGAACTTAGGGGATCACAGACAAGCAAACCCACTTTAGTTATCTCTTGGAACTGTTGTGGTCCATTATCTGTGGTCTGTGACCCTCCAAGCTCTGGTGGTTTTGCTTCAAACACCAATCACACCAAGAGGAACAAAAAAGTAAGGAAGATTTAACAATGTTGCGCACAAACTTTAGTGGCATCCATAAGATAACAATAATTTTCTTGTATTTCCCATGCGGCATACTTGTGGGGCTTAACACACTTTTATCAGTCAGTCCATACGCTTCTTTTCCCTAGGTCCTTTGTTGCCCGACGGTCTTGATGTTCTAAACATTCCAGTTGCTCAGGCACGAGAGCTTGCAATTGACTTGGGTGGTAAGTGGTACTTTCTGTGTGGAACATGTCTCTTCGCATGGACAGCTCTGTAATAACCAATTACAGATAACATTTCAAATATCCAACAGTTGTTTTAAAGAGGTGATACAATGCTTTTAGTAGGACTTTCGTGTTTTAGTCTTGCGTCAAAATTTTAAACCAATTCCCAGATTTTTGGTTAATTTTATGAAGATTTACTACTTTGAAAATTTCTTAATGGAACTGAGATGGCCTTCTTAAGGGCAGAAAGAAAGGAGGTACTAGGCAGGAGATTTAGATTTTGTCTGAATGTTTGTCACAGGTCGAGATGAATGGATGGGACTTGCCGAAGAACTGGGACTGAAGCAATTCGAGATTCGTTTCCTTGATAAGCGTATTCTGAATCCATTTGAAGCTGTCATTGCTTTCGCTGCCAGGGAGCGCTTCATAAGTGTCAGCGAGCTGTACGAATTTTTAATCAAAAATGATCTCATACAAAGTTGGCTGATACACTGTGAGAAAGCTATTTGGAACTTATTGTTTGGATTTCCTCAGCCAAAGCAGAGAATGTCCCCCAAATAGGAATGAATTTTTATGGAAAGTATCCTTGCTAGCCCGGTATTACAAATATAGTAATGTAACAGTAATGTGCAGCAAACGGTGGTTCTGAAATATCTAATTAGATTTAGAGGAACCTCAGCGAGGCGGGTGCATAGGAAACAGTAGTTAGCCTGTGCGCATGCATTATTTCGCTCGCGCTCAGAACATGATCTAATAGAAAAATATTGTTAGCTGTAGAGTAACTTACATACATAGTTTAAGTCCTACAAACTTACCTTAGAAGTTATAAGTAACTTGGCTGCAGCTAGAAAAATAACTATCACACAAATGGGTGGCTTAAGTAGTTGGGAGCCCAAACCCTTTTCCTGTCCAGTGCTGGTTAAGGTATTGAGTGATAATTGTTTTCTTTTACTTCTAATTTTAAAAAAATGCTGAATTTAATTCATAACAATAGGAGACGTCCAAGCCTTATGTGCCTCCTGGCACAGAGAGATTTAAGGTAAGGGAACCTAAAGTTAACGAGGAAAATCGATAACTTGCAGTTTGTTTCGTGGCCTCAAAACCCTCCAAACCATATCCACCAAAAAAAAAAAAAAGAAATCCATATGAACTTGACTTAGATAAGCGCAAGCTCTTTTAATAACATTTTGGTGTTGGAATTTAGAGAAATATTAGGAGTCAAAGAGGCAGGAAATTACAAATTTTTGGACTCGTAACGCCCTATTTGGCTGATGAAAAATGATTGTACCATAAAAGTATCTTTAAGGGTATTAAAATTCGATCCTCTGTTTGTTCTGGTAATATTCGAATTATATCGAAAAACTTCGCTCAAATCGCTTAAATTAATTTCGTTAAAACTTGAATTAATTTTGTTCAAACTTTCCAGCGGGAAATTTTAGATTACAGCTTTCTCAGTGTTTTTCTTTAGAAAGGAAAGATCAATCATTGATCACTTACTCATTGCTTTGGAATAGAAATCATGTTAGAGATCTTAGGTTTAAGCCCAACCACCCACCATTCCTTACCATGGCCGAACATATCTAGACAGTTAGCCAGCATATCGCGCCAACCAAAACTGGGGTAACTACCTGGCTTTTAAAAGCAAATAATTCCTTTATATTTAGCCATGTGAGTAACCATGTTGTCAGTTGTAGATGTATTTGAACTGTTACTGTAACAGTAGGAAATTCTTCTATGATAGTTTTGTAAATCAAGCTATCAAAATTACTGTTTTTTTTTTGTAACGGGAAGCTAATGAAAAGGAATGACCAAGTCCAAGAGAATATCGACTGAGTTGATTTTCTCTTGCCAAGTCGTAATTGTTTTAATTTCGCATCTGATTGGTTGAGGAGACTGTGTAATTCCCTAAACCAATCACGGAGTAAAGTAAAGCAAAGTCAGTGCAATAACAGATTGTTTTCGACGCTCAACTGAAAGTTTCAGTTAGTAAAGTCCTAGCTGAAAAAAAAGCAAACCACCAACAATCCAGATTTCTATGTCGACATGGATAACAGTGGGCAAATAGCTATCCCGTGAAAGTATCGTCGCTTAATTGCTGTTAATTCATTTGATTTGTCCGAATTTAAATCAGCCTTTCGTTGGTATCGTTCAGGAAACTGTGTTTCTACCATTATGGCTCGGTTATCGCCGGAAATTCGAAAAGTGCCTAAAAAGATGTTTAAAATTTAAAAGGGATCGATTTCTTCCTCCTTGTGATAATAAATTCTATTATTAAAAACTGGATCATTGGATAATGCAATTCAAGACTTTTTATTGGCTTAACCATTATGGTATATCAGCCAATATACCATAATCTACAAATATGGTAAGCGTACGCGTCAGCTTAAAATCAAAAGGGAGCTAAAAAATCCAGTTTCTTCTTACAAAATAATAATTTCTTGGGGGCGTTTTTAATAAAACAATTATTCCACTCGCGCTTGTTGGATATGAGATGATTATAGCCAACTCGGCGCTACGCGCTTCGTTGGCTATCTATCATCTCATATCCAACGCGCGCTCGTGGAATAATTGTTAATTAGTTGGATAAACCATCATTTGATTATATGCAAATGTAACGATGGACGCGGACACTGGCTTTGTGTTTGAATGCACTTATATTACTGGGAGAGTGGGTTTTTTTTTCTGTCATGATTGCTCGCATTTGCCATATGCATAATTATTGTGAGTCTCTACGTACAGTCATCTCTAAGTCTAAGCCTCGCTTAGAAAACTGTGGGCACTAGCCTCGTGCCCAGACCTTCCACGGCTAAGCGGTTGTACATTTCAGTTACAGTTATACGGTAGGATCTGGGCAGAGATTAGGTAAGCACGTTTGGCGAAGGAAGTAGTTCTGGCAATCTTGGCCCTCAGTTTGAAAGGTTGTGTGAGTTTGAGAAAGCCAAAGAAGTGCTACAAAGCACGCCTTAATAATGCCGAAGAAGCAGAGGATGAGGTAGAAAACCCAACTGGTAACAGTTCAGCATAAGATCGACTTCTGCCTAGGTAGAGAATTGTGGTTTCGCTAGCCACGACCAGGGTCTTTTTTCTCTTCAGCTGAATATCTAGAGGAAAAAGTCCTAAGCAGTTGCAGTCACTTCAAAATCAAATTCACAAGTTTATCGTCGGCTGCCTGATGGCGCCAGGGTCTCGGCGTTTTGTTAATAACTAACTATATCGGCATTTATTTTTGATAGTCATGAGAAGTGATAACGAAAAAATGTCTATGAATTTTTCAGAGCAGTACGGTTTGAGAGGAGGAATACTCTCTCGCAGGATCTCCCTTTATTTTCCTAATTTCCTATTTGATTTCAACTCATTTTTATTTTTTGTGCTATTTCAGTAGGAACCCCAATCAGTCTTTCAAGTGACCTTGGACTTTGCTGGCTAGTTCCATTTATGGCACTAGCTATTATTATATCTCCTTTATGAAAAATTTCATATACTTTTTATCATGTATTTTAATCTTGTTACCAAAATATGTCCTGGTCTATTTCCGACTGAGCTTCAGTGCCGCAAAGGTCACACGGGTACGATCTTGTCGCATCCTGTATTTTTTATTTTTTTATTTTTTTTGAGCTATCATAATTTCTGCTATGTATCTGGAGAGATAATTTTTAATGTAAAATAGTCCTTCTGTAAAATCTGCTTTAGTTATCTTAACTTTAGATGTGCTGTATCAGTTCAGAACAAAAAGTCATTAGAGATACCAATCCTTGACAGGCGTGGACTGAGGAAGAGGGAGATTGAGAGAGAGTTTGATGACGTCACATGGCGGCAATGGCGGCGTCGTGAAGGTGGGCACATCCGGTGGAATACACCACAAGGTGAAAGCTCTCCCAGCTTCCTTGTTGCCCAACTTTCGGAAGTGAACGTTCAGACCTAGTCTTTGTCGAATGGTCGTGAGAATTTTCGATCCAGGAAACTACTTTCAAAGGATCACCCTTGGGCTGAATTGTCTTGATTGAACGGCAGAACGCCGTGGGTGCGGTGATTTGGAAACAAACTAGCGTCAATTTCTCAATCATTCAACAGTTTTTGAATTACAATCGTTCTGTATCATCTCAGATCATTGAATTGACGTGAAACGATTATTGCCGATCGTCGTACTTCAGTATGAGGTAAGTATTCTTTAGTTTATTGATTTTGATCCCCTTTAACTCGACATGACAGACGATCGAAAGCTTGTTGAGCATTCGCGATAACTGACTACTGCCGCCGTTTTCAAATCGGCTTAAAATCACAATATTCTTTACCTCTCATGTTTGTATTTGATTCATTTGTGTTTCCCACTGGTTTGTGGCCTGTTAACTCTGTTCTTGTCATTTTGCGATGAAAATAATCGAGTAAATAGTCTTGCAACATTAGGTAAGTAATTGAAGTATACTGCATTGGTATTTCGAACTCTTAATCGCTTCGAAAACAGAGTGAAACGTCGCATTTGTGTTATTTTCCCCTGGACTTCAGTAACCCTGGGGCAGTCTTTGTATAGCTATAAAGAAGTGATTTAGTAGGGGGTTATAAGGAAGTAATCTGAAGGAATGTTTTTGCGCGTTGATGCTCTACATTTTGTGGGATTACATGACTGTTGTTGACTTTTATAGGATCAACTTCTACCAGTGTACGGTTCGAATGAGCCATAACATGTGTCTTGCATAAAAGCATGCATATATGTTAGCCAGCTGAATTTTTGTCCTATTCTGTAAGTGTTTATCGTTCAATGAAAGCAGATGTAAATACATATTTCACTTTTGGTCATGTTCATTCGTCCAAACCACTGAAATTGAAGTTTACATATGTGAAAATGAGATCCTTTTTTTCTTTGTCGATGGATTGGTATTTCAGCTATAGGGTTTCATTTTTTGTCAGTGCACTTTCTCGGCAAATCTTGTAATCTATATTTAATAAACTTGTCAGTCTTCGTTTGGCGGCCTTTTGGTGTTATCTTGTAAAGATGAAGGGCTATCAAACGGCGAATTTGTTAAGATTTATATATCGCGCGGGTTGTTGTGCAGGTTGCTGCGACAAATTCTTTGGATAATGCAACGATCAAATCGCCAGAAAAAACTCGAGTTTTTGAGAACTTGCTGAAACGCTGTGGTTTTTTTTGTGTGCAGTAATTAACCTGGTGGAAATCTTACTCGTTCCTTTCTGTGAATACATACATCTAGTCTTATTTTAAAGATCTAAATGAGCTTACTGGCTTCACGTCATGGGCATAATTGTAGTACTCGGTCGTACTTGAACCAGTTTGAAAACCAAACAAGACTATTTGCAGGCCTTAACGCATAAAATGTTATGTTTATTTGTGTAAACAATATTGAAAGACGAGATCTTGACGAGTTTTAGAAGACAGTGCTCAAGATTTTCAAAGTATTTGACTTTCTGACGATATATTGAGGAGTTCGTTATAATGTGGTGGTGGATATCATAATTAGATTGATCTGTCCCACGCGTGTCAATACTGTAACATTTAAATACTCTAGATTTCCTTTTACTCCCAAAGCTCTCTCCTAAATTTTCAGTTTCCTGTTTGATCGACTGAATGACTTCCTAGACCAAATAATGTACACACCCTGAATATTCAACTTCCATACATTGACAATATAAACTCGCACATGCAAGCACATTGATAATTTCACGAATGAATGGAATTTCTTTAGCATTGTAACATTGATGACCAATTATTTCCTAAGTATTGGATTAACTCTGCTTGAATAATGTTTTCTCCTGATGGGATATTTGCCAAAATAAATATTTTCATTTTCTTACTGTATGTTAAATTATGACTCAGGAGATATTAAATTGTATTATGCCTCCCAATTACAACATCAAATAAATTGATACCATTGCCTATCAGTATCAATTTAAAGTATAAGCTTGAAAGAATGTATGTTATTTACTTGGGGGAGGGTCTGTATTGGAAAAACAAACAAACTGTATTTAAGACCAAAGGCAAATTTTTCCCCATTGGACCAACTTAGACCAGTAAATAACTTATTTATGGTATGATTCCAGCCCCCTGAAATCCTTGAGGGAAAAAGAATTATTATTTTCTTGATGTCGTTCAATCTTTGTGCAGAATTTGTTTGCGCTTGTGCCAAACACCGATTATTTTCCTTTTATAGTGATAAAATAACAAGGAAATGATCAGTAGGTTTCTGTATTGTTAGATTTATATAGATAATGCAAATAGAGAAGTTTGATTTAAAGGGGTGATGGCTAGTGAAAGTTCATTTTATGGTGTCAGGAGTAAACAAGTTTTCCCACATATTACTGCTTCATGTGAAGACTTTACAATCTGTGTTGATAACTTTTAATTATTTACCTGCTAGTGAGATGTAATTGTCTTTTGTGTTTATTTTAGCTCATGGAGTAGATACAATTGACAGATATTACAGTGTAAAAAACAAAAACAAAAAAACAAACAATATCCATTTGTCTTTTTATTGTTGTAGAATATTTGTTGATACAGTAGTTTTGACATGGACAGCTGAATAGGCCATTTTACAGTTGTGTACTTAGTTGCCAAGCCTTTGATTTGGAGTGATGCTGAAGGTGACCCTGTTGTGATAGACTTGTATCTAGTAAGCATGAGTACAAAATAATTTACATTTGAAAAGCAGCAGTGTTTGTATCATAACAAGGTTACCCTTAACCTCACTCCTGTTTAAAGGCCTGGCATTACCATGCATTCAACTGTAAAATGAACTATTGTAGTTCTATTGTCAGATATGAGAAAGAAACAAGATATCCCCTTTCCAAGGGAGGCCCATGCACCCTTGAAAATTTTTTAATTTCTGGACTATCCTGCATTTTGAGGTTCTTTCCAATTGATGGTTCTCTATAATTGTTCCTGAAAGTTAATCAATTTGAACAAATGTGAACAGAATTACAGGTATATTAGTCCAATGATGTTTGTTTAAAGGATGAAGCATGTGGCCAGGTTATTACAAGTGGGTAGATCTACAAATGTACCCATTACCCAGCTGTTATTGGAAGCTTTGCCTGAGTCACTGAACACTACACTAGATAAAAAAGTGTTCAGAAGATGATTACTTTTCTTTTCCAGTGAACAATCCATCGCCCAGGCACGGGCATCTGTAATGCTCTACAATAATGACAGAAAAGAATGGGAACACTCTGGTGGATCATCAGGAATCTCTAGAGTTCATGTTTATCATCATCCAATCAACAATACATACAGAATAGTTGGCAGAAAATTACAGGATCATACAGTATGGTTTGAGTTTAAAATGTTACCGTCAGTTGTTGTTTGTAAAAAGTGTGTGAACAGCATACATGTAACAATGGACCATGTTTTATTAATGGGAAATGAGGTGCTTCCTTGTGGTCCCATTTTTGTCTCTCCCCCCCCTCCCTTATCTTTGGTGCCATTTCTGTTTTATTCCCTGTATTCCCCTCAAAGGGTTGGCGTAGTGGTGAGAGCGCTCGCCTTCCACCAATGTGTCCCGGGTTCGATTCCCGGACCCAGCGTCATAAGTGGACCCAGCGTCATAAGTGGATCGAGTTTGTTGGTTCTCTACTCTGCTCTGATAGGTTTTTCTCCGGGTACTCTGCTTTTCACCTCTCCTCAAAAACCATCATCATTTGAATTTATTTATTTAATTAGACCCTACAAGTTGTTCAGCTTTAAACATTATCGTGTCTAAGTAAAGGTGTTATTATTATTATTATTATTATTATTATTGTTATTGTTATTATTATTATTATTGAAGGAACATGGTCCTAGACCAGCAAATCAATTTCATGTACTTATTCACTGAATTACATCTTGGATCTGGCCTCTTAGTGTGTGATGCGTCACCACTTTCTTTGATACCATTTCCAAGAGTTTTTCCTCATTCCCTCGAAACAAGTGCATCCCAGACTATCACTTCAAATTTCTCTAAAAGAACAAATTTAATATTGATTTTCTATTAATTTAAGTATGTAATGATGATAGTTGCTAGGAAAATTTGGTTTGTGGTGTGCAAGCTTTTTTTTCTGGATTTTTTTTGCCTATATGTATAATTTGCTGATCATTACTGATCCACGCTGATTTAATCTCTAGGTAGTATATTCTCCATTTAATCCTTTGATTTATGGAATTTATTCTTAAATTTTTTAACTTTGCCTCTTTAAAGTGTGTAGATTACAGATACATGTAGCTATAAATGGCTGTGTAATGCAGACTGATGAAATTACTATGCAATGCATTTGAATGGTACACTAAGGACTATCCCTTGCATAGTTTTTGTCAGTTCTGGAACCTTATATGTATATCATCAAAGTGGAACTTCAAGGGGATATCAATGTGTATGTTAAGGGAAAATTTTGAATTAAAAATCATAGGAACAGTGTTAATTAAAATCTGGTCAGGGGATGAATTCAAAATTATTTTGCTCTAACTTACAGTTGTACTGCATTGTATTTTGGAATTCAATCTATACTTCCAATAACCTGAGCCAATTTTGAAATTACAGGTTGTTATAAACTGTGCTTTAGCAAAAGGATTGAAATACAATGAGGCTACTCCAACTTTTCATCAGTGGAGAGATCAGAGACAGGTGTATGGTTTAAATTTTGCAAGCAAAGAAGATGCACAAGTTTTTGGGTCAGCTGTGACCACTGCTTTGGAAAACCTTAGGAGTGGGGGCACTGGTATGTTAAAAGAAAGTTGAAACTGATGAATTTTATATTATTTTAGTCTCAATTTGAATGTTTTACCCAAATTAAAATTTTCCCTGCTTGAGTTGCGATTTCAAAGTAGCAAGAGGATCCAGACATTTGTAGCCAGCAGGGACTTTTCATATTTAGTCGATTTGATGACTCAGATGATTTCTGCCCAGTTTGTGTCAGTTTGTACCCGACGTGCTGGTTGATTCATACCTGTCCAAACATTCAGTCACCATAACCCATATTGATATTGCAAATTACAAATTAGTTAAGAGTCAAGAGGGTTAGATACAATTAAGTTCTGTTGTGTGTACTTATACTTGTAACCTTCTTAACCCCAATAACAACTTAAATGGTGCTTTCGTGCATGATAAGTATGATTTTTTTCCCCTTAATAATTAACAGTAAAACAAAACTTACTTTGCTTTAAACATACCTAATATGTAAAACATACAGGAATCAACTGAGTACTAAGCATGCAGTACATGTTTATTGGCACAAACTGACAGACAAACCTTCAAGAAACTTCTCAATGATGATAATAGGTATTGTGTATTGGTTCACAGCTGGAATTCCACACCAGCCTCCCATGGTGCACCAACAACAGCCACAGCATACAAACAGTAACAGAGGTATTGATCATGATGAAATGGTCAATCGAGACCCCTCTCACTTTGATGGACATGACCAGTATTCACGTGGTAGGGTCCCCTCAGATAACAGATCTTACCGCCCTCAGTATGATGCGCCTCATGAGACAGAAAGCCCTAATGTAAGTTGTATCTGTTGGCTATAGTAGTCTGTTGTTTTCATGCTAATTAAAAGAAGTAATTTACTGTTTGAAAATATCTTTTTAACAAAGTTTGCATGTGACTTACTGGGCAAATGTTGCACCTCTTCTGGAGGCAGTGTGGCTGAGTGGTAAGGGTGCTGGACTTGTAATCTGGTGGTTCCAGGTTTAAGTCCTTTTCTGTGCTGTACTTTAGAGCAGTTGGGATTTTTAAGTGTGTTTCAAACTGTTTGTATTTTCCCTGAAAAGTCCCATTGGAGAAGGGGTCAATTATGATACAGTCTGTACATACAGTGTACATACTCAGGGCTCAACACTAAATTTTCAGCTTACTAGTCAAGTGGCTAGTGACATCTTACATATTACTACAATTTCAGTTTGTTTACTAACCAAACTGGTTAGTGGAAATTAAAAACCACCAGCCAAAACTGAATTTCTACAAGTCTGTGGCTAGTGGGCTACCATTAGTGTTGAGCCTTGCATACATCTCTTTGCCCAGCCCATTCTGTAAGTGCCTCTAGCAGATAGTTTCCCACTATGGCAGCTTGGTTACTTCTAGTATTATGGCATGTATAATAACAGTGTACATATACAGTTGTTCTACACACTGTCTTGACATCGGCTATAAATCTAATTGAACTTACCAACTGGTAGAGAATGGTCTTCTTTAGTTCACTTAAATTATAACATTAACATGTTTTAAAGTATCAACATATTGGTACAGCATTCCAGCTTAAAATTGAGACTTTAAGGGTGCTATTTGCTGAAGCTATGTTCCAAATTTGCTTCACCAGTCAAGCACTATTTCCTTGTCAACATCTTCTGCACCACAGTCACCACCACAAAGTAAGTTCTGAATTTGAAATTTCTTTATACTCTGAAGGGGTTTTATTTTCAGAAAAAAGAAAGCCCTGAGGTAAGTATTCTATCTTGGAAGTAGTGGTCTCTTGATTTCATTTAGGAGGCTTCCCTTCAAAGTAATACAGGGAAAATCTGCCCTTTCCACTGTCCTCTTGAGGGAAGACCACTGAACTAATGGTGAGCATCATGCAAAAAGAAAAAAAGCTGGTCTTTGGCTATTCAAAGGAGTACTACTCTAGCGAAAGAAATGCTAGATGAATACAATAAAGCAGGCATTAAATCTTGCTTTTGTATAACCATTAAGCAGTGTTAATTTTTTTTCTGTTTTGTTGATTTGATTGACAGATGTACCCCAAGCACCCCCTGTCCCAGCAGCTCCACCTGCTCCCCCAGCACCCCCTGCCCCACCTGCTCCTCCGGCAGCTCCTCCTCCTCCTGGTGGGGGACCTCCTGCACCTCCTCCTCCTCCTCCTACACCTAGTGGAGGTGGAGGTGGTGGCTCATTAGCAGATCAGATTGCAGCAGCAAAATTGAAGAAGGCTGCCAAGGTAAGACTGACCTTGCTCATGTAACAGTAAACGTATTGCACATCCATTAAACTAAACAATCCAGTTTCCCACAGCATTTCTTGAGGATTGTAAATTGGTCACGAAGATCTTTCTTCCTGAGATTGTGTACATCCAGTAGGTGTTTACCAACGACAGAATGCTTGTGCTCATTAATGTGCTGAAACAGGTTTCGGCACATATAGCCGACATAATCTGCGTTGCACAGATCACATTTGCATTCATAAACAATGCATTGTTTGTTAACAAGAGGGGGTTTGGGTTCCGTCACTTTGATCTCATCCGCAATTTTCTTGCTTGTAAACACTGGGTACAAATGCTGTTAATTTTCTTCAAGAGATCGGAGAGCTGTCTTCGTACTAAGTCAGCTGACTGTTGATCTTTAAATGGGATAATAATCCTAATGGGCTTTTTAGCATCAGGCACCAGTTTTTGGTCTTGAGACTCAATGAATCTGGTGATTGCACAGTTAATGAGTCTCTTAAGGTACTTAAGCTTGAGAAAGATCTCTTTCAGGTTGTCACATTCGGCAGCAAAAAGGTCAGGTGAAGATGAGAGTTGATGTGCACGATTTAACATAGTCATTAGAAGAGATCGTTTAAAAGGGACAAAATTTGAACCACCATATTTTATGAATGTCACCTAATGAAAAAAAAATTTTAGGGGCAAGATCCAAAATCAATCATCTCCAGATTTCAGATTTCCTTTTGAACACTGATGAATTATTTTGATTTTCACTTCTATGTTATTGTGTAGGCTGAAAGTGAAGGTCCAAGAACTGAACGAGCTAATTCAACAAGTCGTGGCAACAAGTCCATCGGTGGAGGAATGGACATGATGGCAGAAATGCAAAGAAAGTTGGCTGCAAGGTGCAATCAATAATTGTTGCTACACAATTTTGGGGGTTGTGATGGCTTTGTGGTCAGCATGTGTAACTCCAGAGCCAGAGATCTGGGTTCTAACTCTGGCTAGGTTATTGTATACTTTTCTTGAGCTAGACATTGACTCTCACAGTACACCTCTCCACCCAGCAATATAAATGGCTACCAGCAAACTGTTAATAACACTTACAAAATGTTTAGAGGGAAAGGGTGACTCTGTGGTGGACTACCATTGTGTAATCGAGGAACTCACAATCTGCACTTATCTTATAGGAAAGCCAAAGAAGAGGGAAGAGAAATCGAAGTAAGATTTCTTGACACTTTAAGGGTGTTCCATCTTTTGAGCTAATTTCAGTGTCACAGAGAATCGCTCTTATCTTTCAATTACCAAGATCTCAATATTGATCTTCTTTTCTGTTCATCATACTTTTTGCTCTAGAAGTTGGTTTTGAATCAATCAATATCACTGAGGGAATATTATTCTTGAATATCTTCATGCTCGACAATATACTCATGTTTTTTGAAGAACAGGCCTCAGGTGGGCTTGTTATGACTCAAGAGGCAACCATTTCTTTTCAGGATACAATGCATTTTGTTCACTTGAGTTGATAATTGTAACATCTATTTACAAGTAGTTCAGGAACACTTATTGTAAGAGAGGACTAGAGGAATTAGGAGAGCAAAATTTATAAATTGTCATCATGATGACAATTTCAATCAGGGTTATATTTATTGGTTCCACTAAAAAGAAAATTTGATGAATGATCCAGCATTGTACCATGTTTACTTTAAACCGTACTTGTTGCTGACATTAGTATTAATTTGCTTTTGTTTACCAGTTTAATTTTAGGTTTAATTTGATTTTTTGATGCTGTCATTTTTAGCCTGTCAGAGAAGAAACCGAGGCAAGAACAGAAAGAGCACCTGCTGGTAAGTATGCTGCCTTATCATGCCTCACCATGTGTCTCAGCACAACATAGTTTTGGACACAAGTGTGGAAAACTGGATGCAGTAAATGAAGTCAAGACGTCTAGTAAACTTTCTTTCTGAAATGATGCGGAAAGTCCTCTTTCGTGGTTTGATAAACTCTCTTCAGGTTTCTTTCTTTGTCAAAGTTCTTGCAAGAAATGGATCTCAGTAGACAATATGACCATGATCGACTGTAGAATGGGAGATTTTTTTTTTATTATCCCCTCACTCTATGATATGAGGTTAAAGTTACATATTAAGGGATTGGGAATTTCTTAGAGACAAGTGTCAGACAGTGAAAATTTTTTTTCCAATTTTAGTTTCTTGACTTCTGTTTTATTTTTATGACACTTCTAGCACCACGCACCACTGTAAGCAATCCGCCACCAGCTCCGACATTTGGAAACAACAATATTAAAACAAACTTCCTGTCAACAGCTAAACCAACAAGTAATGGTGCCAGGTAAAGAAATCCCCAAGTACATTTTTCAAAGACAAGAAGATTGCATGAACCTGTAGGGATAGTCTTAATCAAAGAAATAAGAAAAAAAAAATATTTGAGCTGTAAAAAATATTCCTTTTGGATTTAAAACTTAAGAAAGGCAGCAGGAATTATGAAGGTTTCAAAAGTTGACAGTCATGAAACTTGACAGTTTGGTTCTATTAACTGAGTTGATAGTTAAGATTGGCCATGGCAGGGATTATCTGAAGAGGATGTTTTGATTATTAGCCTTTCACCAGAGTGAAGGGCTAATGCTCTGAATGAATGAAAGTCCTTAAGCCCTGTTAATTGAAATTGTGACAAAATTTTGCCACTGACGAGCAATCTCGTCCACCAATTGTTGTTGTATTTTAATTTGTTCTAAACACAGTTGTGGAATGTGTGGCATTTGCAAGTCAGATCATTTTAAGCTTGGCATTTGGCTACATGTGTATATATATATGTACCATGAAAAGACAACCTCAAAGACAAAAATCACTGAGTTGTAAATTGTTCTTTTTGTTTGCAGAAAAAACAGCAAGACAGAATCACCCTTGAGTAATGAGCAGCTGGAAGAATTAAAATCGGTAGGGTTATTTTTTAATATTCTTTTAGTTAAAATGGTTAAAATGGAAAGCAAGAGCTTAATTTTTGTAGTGCATTTCTTTCTCAAGATTTGTAATACACAATTGTATTTTGCTTAGAAATTGACTCTTTGTAACCTTGTGTATTTCTCATAAAGGAATTACTTGCTGAATTTAGACAAGAATTGGATGCTGCTAAGAGAGAGATAATTGAAGGTTAGTTGCATAAATATAGGGCAAAGGAAAATAAAAGGAAAAAGAGAAGACCTTCATGCGTATGTGGCCACCCAGAAACTTACTGGCTTTAGTATAACTCACATGGATGAGAAGTAACTCTACAGTGTAGAATCATGTCTTCCTTGCTAAACAAAAGTCACATACCAAAATTAATTTCAGTTCATTATTGCAGCTTGTACCTTAAGCCATTTAATATTTTATTGTAATTATCATACATTCTTAGCAATTTTGGTTTAACAGGTTCTCTTCTCTTCACTTGCAGCTGTAAGACAAGAAATTGCTCGCCTTCGGTGAGTGGGCATGGAACTATGTAATGACTCAATTCAGAAGTCACCGAATAAATGGAAAACCTCTGATTAATGAAATGAATAACTCCAAGTGTTTATTCCTTTTCCTGACATCATGAAAACGATTTGGGATATAAATGTGAATATGCATAGTTGGCTCTTAAAGTAGTGTTAATTGGTAAATGAACTATTGACTTGTGGAGGCATGGTATACCATAACCCTTCTCACCAAATGGACAGTATACCATAACCCTTCTCACCAAATGGACAGTTTTAAATAATAGGGTTCATTAGACGCTTAGTGAATTTGTAATAAATATTGCATGAATGCCATGTGATAATTAATCATCAGGACAAAGCTGTGCAAACATGATTACCAGTAGTTCTCATCCAGGTTTAATTGTTGCGGTGACACCTTGTGTTTGTATCTAGTTATAACAGAATTAACATAAGATACAATGAATATATGAAGAATTAACATAAATTGGCTTTGAATAATAATGCTGAGGTTACACATTACGTCAAGAGTGGAGAGTTCGTAATGTTTGATTTATGTGTTTTAGGGAATTCATGTGCTCCATAATTCTTTTTTTTTTTTTTCTCGAAATCTGAAGCATAACATTAAATGGTATTTTTATGAATGCTGACCACTTAAACATTAGCAAGGAAAAGACTGTAATTCTAATGATTTAGACTGTGCTTGTGTAAGGAATAAAACAAAATGACCTCCTTGGTATTTCATGAAAATTTTGCAGGATTTAGTTCTTGCTGATTTTGCGGATAGTCCTTAATTCAGAAAACCTTAGAAGAAACATCCTGCAATTAACTTCCTCAAAATCTACTACTTGCTTCAAATAGTAAAATCAGATTATTTTCCATGTCAATTTTCTGTTGCTGAAACAGAAAATCACTACATTGTAGTGAAACAGAAAATCACTACATTGCTGAAACAGAAAATCACTACATTGTATCTAGTTATAACAGAATTAACATAAGATACAATGAATATATGAAGAATTAACATAAATTGGCTTTGAATAATTACACATTACTTCAAGAGTGGAGAGTTCGTAATGTTTGATTTATGTGTTTTAGGGAATTCGTGTGCTCCATAATTCTTTTTTTTTTTTTTTTTCTTCTCGAAATCTGAACCAAGGGAAATTTCAGTCATCTAGAATGGCAAATATATGTTCTGAAGAACACAAAGAATCACCAGTCTGCAAACTAAAACTTTTTCAAAATTTTCACGAAAAGTGCACAATAACATAATGGAATAATATCATAATGGTGATTGTGTGTAGAATGTACTTCAGGGGTATCAATTATAACAGTGACTGGAAGGTACAAAGGGGGCTTAGCTTGAGCCTGTGTTGGAGACTTAATGCACCACAGGTGTTCTTAAAAAGTGAGACTCCGGAACTTAAAGCAAGAATAAACAATTATATCAAATTATTAGCACTGTTACATCAATTTGTGCTGTGTGTCAACCACAGTATGTCCTTGCAAAACGTTTCCTTCAGACACTAAAGAAAGGCATTCCCCAGATGGTATGGATAGGGGAGTCTCAGATATGCTTACAGATAGCAGAAATTCAAAGTGCCCCTGGTATTTGCAGCTTCTTGTCACTTTTGTATCAAGTTACATCCTTAATGTCATATTCTTTCAAATAGGCTAGATTATTTTCATGATTGATTCTCTAAAATTATTTTTCCATAGCATTGCCTTTGTCAAGGCTTTTACAGATTGGTCATGGTAGATAAGGAAATTTTTACAGAATGCAGTGAAATGGTGAAGATTGTATCAGAACAAACCCAGAATCAGTCATTTCTAAGCCATTCTAAAACAGTTTGAGTTTGTCATGTGGATTCTAGGCTATTATGCACTTTATTCCAGGTAGTTCTGTCATCTTGTGTTTAGTGATACCTGTGAGATGATCATAACCAACTTTGTTGAGTGAATTAGGCGTTACTGTTGAACACCGTATTATCTTAATGTGTGGTGTAAAGAAGACAGCAAAGATACATGTAATCCAACTGCTCATAATCTAACCTTGTTTTTAAGTTTCAGTTGAGTTTAGCAGCTTAGTATATTAAATCCCTCCTGTATATGAAAATTAATTATTCACTGCTGCAATTTGTTCACATGAAGGAGTAAAATTGGAATGAAATTTGTTGTTTGACTCCTGGAAGCTCTGTGTTTTATTTCATCTCTCACTTTTAAGTGAAAGGTGGCACAAACTTCCCAGCAAAGTGAGAGAGGAAATGATGATTGCTACTCTATGGGGGTACTTTCATAATTCTTTCTGACTGATAAAATTCCATTTAATTAATTAAACACCCTAACATCAGTATGCATATTCTCTAAACTGTTCTCCATACATTTCCTGAGGTGTTGATTAGGAGAATTTGTAATACAATAAAGAACTTTATTTAGTTGGTGTTTATTTTCTTGTGACCTTAATGTGTGATTCAGGGTGATATAGTAGGGTTCATAGGCTTAAAAAAGCAAAGCTTTGACTGCCAATTAATTTCTCCAAATGCCAATGGGTCAATGCTTTCCCTCAAAAATTGCCAATATATTCCTCAGTTGTTACCTTACCTAGCCAATAGGTGCACAGTCAGCTCCACTGAATCTGTCTAATTTGTGACCTGGTGAATCTTTACGCTTTACTACATGAGCAGGCACACATTATTACGTTCAACCAATCAGACTGTGTCAGTACTGGTTCTAAGAGGGTATATGTTATAAGCATTCTTCCAGTGATGGGGAGGGCATGGTTCTTGATTTTCTGAATTGACTTGACTGAGTAATGTTGGATCTTTGAGAGTAAGGTGGCAAACCTTGTGGAAGATCTTTCAGTATCTATTTCAGAAAAATCCCCACTGAACAGTAATTGCTGCAATGTTCAAGTGATGATCAGTGTGGTTGCAAAGAAAGGTTCAACTTCAATGAAAGTAGAGGTACAACCATTGTCTGTGAACTTTACCTTTTTGTCATCCATTAGAATACTTAGGCATCAAGTCACATAAATAAGCTGCCATTGTCACTTACAAGCCAGAGATTAGAAATGGCAGGAGAAAGAAACTTTTAAAGGGGGCAAAAACCTTTAGGTTGGGAGGTGTATTGAAGTGGGGCTAAAAGTTTAAATTTGTGGGATTTCAGTGTATAGGATGTGTCATATCTAACACTTAAGAGTAATGATCTTAAAAATACACAAGTGCTCTAGGCTGCTACAAGGGTATTAACGGTTGGCAACATAATAAATTTCTGGGAGGGGGGCTTATCTGATGCAAAAGTGGCCAATTTGGAAAATGTATGTTCCATGGTCAGGTGGAAAGCTGGTTAACATTTGCATAAAGCAATACACTTATATGCAAAATGTTTTTTCCAATTTATTCACATTTCTTACAATCAACTTTTGGCAATCTCCTTAGAAGCCAAATGGCAACTTTGAAGATAGTTTAGCTTGTAGCCCGGCCTGTACATCTGGCAAATGACAAATCTATTCAGCTCAAAAGGGTAAAATTAGATTCTTCCAAGGGTCCCTCTTCAAGTGATTGTACCCACAAAGTGAAATTCTGAGTAATGGAGTCACCTTAAACATTATGACTAGAACTGCAACTTTCCTTGGCTATAACTTTTTATTTACTTTCACTCACTCCCTAAAAAATTGCTGGTACAACAATGAAAGTCAGTATCACAAGCAGTATTGGTTAACCTGTACAGCATCGATTTCACTTTTTGGTCCTTTCAGTCCAATATGAATTACATCTTTTTATTCTTTTTAGCTAGTATCTTGCATTACTTGAGAGTTGTAATATTTGTGGATAAAAGATACCTGCTACAATACAAATTATTGTTTACTAACTGGGAAAAACAGCCCTAGTACATCCCTTCCAAATATGGATTTCAAACAAGTTGAAGAATTGCTTTGCTACCCGACCTACAGATCCTCTATTTCCATTATCAGTGACTTAAGAAACAACAAAAATAAAGATTAACACTACATTTCTACCATTCCTCTGAGACTGGCCGAAACGGGGAGTCTTCTTTTAAAAGAAGACACCAGCCCTGGTATGGTTGCACAGACACTCTTGCAGTGTCTTTGTTGTGCATGGTGAATCCTGCCATTCCAGCCACAAGTTTAGCAGTGTCTTGCAAGCCATACGGGTTTTTGAGCTCAAGGGGCACACTTACTAAACCACCTGACAACTGGCCTATTTTCAGAACCTTATTTGTGCCTTCCAAAAACTCTGTTATCCAACCTTGGTATTCAGGGCATCCAGATCCGAACTCTCTCTTGTAAGAAATAATATGACTCCACCATTTCTTGTCTGGGTTTTCACAATAGGTAGCCATCAAGTTGTCAAACACCTTTTCCACAACATTCCACCATTCTGTCTGCAAACCAAGGTCGTTCTCGATGGGTTCAAGCAGTGTTCGCAGCACCTTAAAAAAGATAAAATAATCAATTAGGTGAGTCTATCTCCTGCACCACTTATCGGTCAATGTACCAAGTACACAAATACTGTGAATGAACTGGCCAAAGGTTAAAACTTCCAACTGGTGAAGGGCTCGCTAGAAAACTGTACAGAAACTAGCTAAACAAGGTATCTGATAACACACACTTATCAGAGAAGCTCTGACACATCTGTTTGACGCTTGAACAAAGAGGCTGTCACATTCTTCTGGTGACAGGTGGGCAATCTTGTAGTTTCAAAAGTTTTTGCAGTGGTGGTAGGGCGGAAAGGAAAAAATTTGATTATAATACAGCAAGGTCCTCTTCCCTTCCCCTTCTTTTGCTCTTTCGTGCTGCTTGCACTACTCACTGCTACAATAGAAAAGCTTGGGTCCTTGCCCTTCGCCAAACCCTTGTCTTTGAACATAAACTGTTGTCTCCAAGACATTTCGCTTTGATAGACAAAAACGATGGACGTGACGGGGAGGGGGTTAGGGTTAGGGTTAGCGTAGGGGTGTTTACAAGAAGATCTGAGGTTACCTTAAGTTTGGACTTGAGTTTCTTCCAATCGTCTTCAGTGCCTAGCATTTCCAGCGCAGGGATGCCGCACATAGTTTCCATGGTGTACTTGAAATACTCCTGAACTGAATGCATCAACGTAATCTGCGAGACAACCTTCTGCACTGGTGTTGTGGTGCTAAAATCTGCCGTTATTCCATCCACGAACTCGGGTACTTTGACGTTCTTTCGTATTCCCTTCGCCATTTCATCGAAAAACCAGCTGTAATCAACAGTATAGATGGTATTTTCAGGCACTTTGACTTCAATTTCTTTCTTTCCTTCGTGATCAACAAACACCCTGCGAACGGAATCTTTCTTTGCGTTTTTTTCGATAGCTCTTGCCACTCGCCTGATCACGCAGAACCACCAATCATCGGGAGAGGTTCGTAGTGTCCAGTGGTGGTTGTAAGCTGTTAGAATGGTTGAAAACAGTCCGCAATCTCCAGGGTAAACCATCTCTTCTGAACCTATAGCAGCTATCATTTTTTTCTCCTTTCGATCAAACATGGAAGCTCCCAGGAAAAACATGTTCATATCGAGTTGAGCCTCCTGTGAATAGTCTTTTAACATCTGTTTCGCTTCGATTGCTACAAACCAGCTTTTTGCGAGTTCAACGGGAACAAGATCAGCGGCTAGTGGTACAGATTTGAATTCCGACCCACCACCGGTAGCATTTGCACTTACGCCAATGATAGCAGTAGCAACAGAAGGATTGCTTTGGTCTTCGGCCATCGCGCAAGTTTTGTACCGAATACTATTTCCGTCTAGAGCAAAATATTAATTCAGTTTCAAAGTAAATTTTAAAAAGGAAGGATTACATCATTTTTGTTGACGTCAGGGGTTTCAATATTGGCTCTAAATCAGAAGATCACAGATCATTGTAGAAAATAAAGTGCTTCAGTTAAAAATGAAACGTTCCACATCGTCGCTTTCGACTTGACGCTCTTGCTTTGTAACGTGTCCTTCAAACTCGTCCCCAGAGTCCCCTCTTTTCCGCACTTACTGGAGGAAGGAAGAGGGAGGACTCTGGGAATGAGGTTGTAAATAATTAAACAGGAGACTGGAATAATAATAAAACATTCGAATTTGAGTCGCTGTGGCCTTATAATGGGACTTTTTTCGTTGTTTCCGATTTATGAAGACTGTCAGTATTGGGGATCTCAAAGAAGCGGGTTGGAATGCCATATCAGTAAGGATTTGGGTGTCTTAGACATTCAAACGTATAGGGTAGACATGAAATACTCTTGTTAATTCGGTTTCTTCGGCTTTCGAAAATTATAAAACACGTCAACAACAACGAGTAAACATGTGTCATTGGTGCTAGAATCAGGAGGGTTACAACAAACTTATGGGATTCAAATGTAGTGATGCAACCACTCTGGAAGAGTTTCTCGTATTTCTTGGGATTCGGGTATCCTTACTTCTTTCAAACTCAGGTTTGAAAAGAGTAGTTTTATTTCTACGTACAGCGCAAGTTGTTTTGTTAAGTGGGTAAAAATTTAGTGTTAACGTTGTAGTGTAGACAATTCGTTTAGACACCCTTCCGCAAGAGAACTCGAATGTTTTTACCATTAGAGAAATAATTCTTGTTTAGGAGACAAACTAAAGTTCTTATTTGCGTTGACATGTTTACCGCCGCCTGGTTAGCTCAATTGGGAGAGCGCCGGACTGTTGTGCGGGAGGTCGAGAGTTCAATACCGGCCGGACCAACACTCAGGGTCTTAAAATTAACTGAGAAGAATATGCTTCCTTTCTTTAACATCAAGAATTGGTTAGATATTCTAGTCTTCTCGGATAGGGACGAATAAATGGAGGTCCCGTCTCCTGCAGGGTTAGGGGCAGGAGACGTTAATTTCCCACGCACGAGATTACTGTGTGATGGATGTCCTCCCCTGGGGTGGGTTGGGTGGGTAACAGGACCCCCGTTGATACCAGTGTTTACTACACTGAAGGGGCTATCCTGTATAAATATAGATGTCTGTCTGTTTACAGGGCCAGTTTCCCCGTCACGCGTGACAGGTCATCGACACAGGTTGTTGGCGGCAGCAAGGCCTTTGTGAACGATGTTTGAGTTGATGGAACCCACCAATTGCAGCAATCATAATGTATAACGGTGGGCCGGAGCGGGGTCCAGGGGCATCTTTCGCCGTAAAATTTCAAACATATCTAAACCACATTTAACTCAAACTATCGAGACCACTCTGCCCCTTAATTCTCCAAACTAGGAATTTTAGATATTTTCCAAGTCAATAGGTTTGAAATCACCAAATTTATGTTTTGTTTCAAAAACAACTTATTGCCCCCATTGCTTCTCGATCTTTTTGTAAGGAATAGCCAAATTCACAACTATGGTACCAGAACAGCCAGTAATTATCGAACGCATTTGTGCCGTACAAATGTCAAGCAGTTTACAATTCTCTACCAAGGCCCTAAAATTTGGAACTCTCTCCCTATTTCAGTCACTCATTCGTCAAACTTTCACAGCTTTAAAACGAAATTGCAAGAGTTTTTAATTAAATAATCACTGAATTGGCCAAGCCGCACATTCGCAGCACTTTTTCTTTACTTAATTTATTATTGTAAGTGAGGTAGCTCTCCTATGAGCCTGGTGGCTTCTTGGGTCTCCTCGCCTTTTAACTGTTATCACTGTAATTAACTATTTTTTTAATTGTTAAAATAAGGCAAATAAAGATGATGATGATGATGATCATGATGATGATGACATTCTATTACCATTTTGCGTATTTTGGAACATTTTCGGGGAAACAATTTTTTTGTAATAACTGGCATGAAAGAAAGCCTGTCACAAACAATATCTCTAAAGGTTTGTCTGATCCATGATACGGACTTCTGGCTCTAGTGGGACAGGAAGGTTAAACCCAGATTTTCTCCTCAAGGGAAATTTCCGACTTGTTACAACTTTGAGAGAAGAATCATATCCCGCTTCACTAAATGCAAATGGCCACAGCGTGAGATTGTAGGAGTGCTTGCTACGCAATGATGACGTGACACTCCTGACAGTTAGGTTGCGTGGGGACCATTCTTGCCGAATGTCACGCAAGCTCAGTACTTCATAATACTTCTGGACCGTAGTCGCGGCTTGTTGGTCACACTCTCTTTCCGTGTGCTTTAGGTGAAATCTCTGTACCCTGTGCCGTTTTGAGATCACTTCAAGCTTTTTCTTCAATCTCGCAATGAAACTGTGTAAAACTTGTGACATCTCGTTCTTAAGGTCCTTACTTTGAGTTAAAACTGCAAAAAGACAGAAAGGTTCACCATCAACAAATGTCACGTGATTTGGTTCTCGATAATTGTAACGAATGATCTTAGCGATGATGCTAAGGAGTAGTAGGAAATTATGAATACGGATAAAGCAAAGACCAGATATTCATGCATTTATTAGAAAACAAGTTTTTATTTTTCAAAACATTAAATATTTAATTAGCAGCAAAAGTTCCTTGCATTAAAAAGAGGCCAAGGTTTAGAGGCAAGACAAAGAATAGCTGTATAGCAGTCGCAACGTGGCAATCGATACACGATTGATTAACTTGACTTTACATTGTGAGAGAAAGATTAACGATTAGGCATATATTTTAGTAAAAACTTGTGGATATTCACGTCATCGAGGATTCTTTCTTCCAATGTAGATAATGTGAAGGTGTCGTCTGATCGTCCGGGTGAGTGTAGTCCTGAGAAGGACTGTTGTCGGTGGTAGTGACTGACGTTTCGACAACCTGTGCAAAAGTCATCATCAGGGACAATCATTCACTTGACTCTGATGATGACTTCCGCACAGGTTGTCGAAACGTCAGTCACTACCACCGACAACAGTCCTTCTCAGGACTACACTCACCCGGACGATCAGACGACACCTTCACATTATCTACATTGGAAGAAAGAATCCTCGATGACGTGAATATCCACAAGTTTTTACTAAAATATATGCCTAATCGTTAATCTTTCTCTCACAATGTAAAGTCAAGTTAATCAATCGTGTATCGATTGCCACGTTGCGACTGCTATACAGCTATTCTTTGTCTTGCCTCTAAACCTTGGCCTCTTTTTAATGCAAGGAACTTTTGCTGCTAATTAAATATTTAATGTTTTGAAAAATAAAAACTTGTTTTCTAATAAATGCATGAATATCTGGTCTTTGCTTTATCCGTATTCATAATTTCCTACTACTCCTTAGCATCATCGCTAAGATCATTCGTTACAATTATCGAGAACCAAATCACGTGACATTTGTTGATGGTGAACCTTTCTGTCTTTTTGCAGTTTTAACTCAAAGTAAGGACCTTAAGAACGAGATGTCACAAGTTTTACACAGTTTCATTGCGAGATTGAAGAAAAAGCTTGAAGTGATCTCAAAACGGCACAGGGTACAGAGATTTCACCTAAAGCACACGGAAAGAGAGTGTGACCAACAAGCCGCGACTACGGTCCAGAAGTATTATGAAGTACTGAGCTTGCGTGACATTCGGCAAGAATGGTCCCCACGCAACCTAACTGTCAGGAGTGTCACGTCATCATTGCGTAGCAAGCACTCCTACAATCTCACGCTGTGGCCATTTGCATTTAGTGAAGCGGGATATGATTCTTCTCTCAAAGTTGTAACAAGTCGGAAATTTCCCTTGAGGAGAAAATCTGGGTTTAACCTTCCTGTCCCACTAGAGCCAGAAGTCCGTATCATGGATCAGACAAACCTTTAGAGATATTGTTTGTGACAGGCTTTCTTTCATGCCAGTTATTACAAAAAAATTGTTTCCCCGAAAATGTTCCAAAATACGCAAAATGGTAATAGAATGTCATCATCATCATGATCATCATCATCATCATCTTTATTTGCCTTATTTTAACAATTAAAAAAATAGTTAATTACAGTGATAACAGTTAAAAGGCGAGGAGACCCAAGAAGCCACCAGGCTCATAGGAGAGCTACCTCACTTACAATAATAAATTAAGTAAAGAAAAAGTGCTGCGAATGTGCGGCTTGGCCAATTCAGTGATTATTTAATTAAAAACTCTTGCAATTTCGTTTTAAAGCTGAGAAAGTTTGACGAATGAGTGACTGAAATAGGGAGAGAGTTCCAAATTTTAGGGCCTTGGT